CACACACACACACACACACACACACACACACATGCACACACACACACATGCACACACACACACACACAGATGTGCAGCACATGTGAGATTCATGGCAGCTGGAGGTAGGGGGCGCTGTGCTACATATCTGCTGGGTAGACCGCCGTGTCAGGAGGAGGGACAGACTGCCCAGACGTCTGACTTTTAATAGGACGATCAAGCAGGATGGTGAAAACGCTCGGAGTTTCGGAGGTCTGCTTGGTGACAGGACGGTGCTCCCAAACGAAGCACCCCGTACTTTGAGCTCAGCCAATAAAGCGGCCTGTCACACACGGCATTGTGGGATAGAGCGGGGGCGAGGGCTGCACACCGTCATGGGGTTACGGGTCACGGCTGGCCTCACACAGCAGACCCTGTGTCAGTACTGGCTCTGGGGAAAAACCCGAACGGGCTCCCAGGATTCGTGCCGTCATCCTGCTGGATGGGTGGGGCTAATGCTTCATCATACCAGAGAGACACGGAAAGGAAATTACACAGGATAAAAACAAGAGTATCAAAGGCGAGCCATCTGATAACACGCAGGGCTCATTTCTGCAGCAGTGACAGGCAGATAAGGGTGACACAGACCGAGCAGGACTAGCGATGGAACAGCTGTTTGTGAGGGGGGGGGGAATATCTGCCATCTCAAACTCTGCGGCTGGGGAGCAGTTTGTTTATGCGATCTGTGCTGCAGGGCGACGGCACGGCTGAAATGTCAGGTGGGTTAAAGAGAGAGAAAGAGGGAAAAAATACAGAATTGGGGGTTGAGGGGGCTGCCGGACCAGCCCTGGAGCCTTGGCCACCTCCCGCTCTGTTTTTGGCCCAGTCTCCCCATCAGCGGCCTGCAGGTGCCGCGGCAGAACTGCCCAGCTGCCACCCCCCCGCCCACTCCGCCACGCTTCAGTTTCACCCACTGCTGAGCCAGTTGGGGGAAGCGAAACGGAGCCCCCCCCCCCGCCAGGAAGAACCCTGGCTAGCTAATGCCAGCTGAGGTTACATAACAAGGCACCTGTGACCCTGTGACCAAAACACGCACCGTGACAGTGGCATGCCACTAGCCACTGCGGATCGTGACAAAAACATGGGCGGCACCCCCCCTCACGGGGTCTCCCAACCCTATCACCGCGCATTTAGGAACTCAGACACCACGCGCTCGCAATCAGGCGAGCCCAGACTGCACCGGCCTCCACGTTCTCCGCAGCACGTCCGCTGCCCCCACACTCGCAGGACGCTCAAAATTCCTGCGAAGTCGGGAGCCGGCGTGCACAAACTCTGCGGTGAACGTCACACGCAGATAGTGCCGATAAGAGCTGAGCGCGGGGGCATGGGCGTCGGGCACAACAGAAGCACAGGTGCAGGGCTGTTGCCATAACAGCAGCCCACGTCTCGCCCCTGCAGGGGGGGGCGCCTGTGGGGGCCGGGGGCCCGGCCAGGCAGCATCTGAACAGCTTTTCCTGTGAAAGCGACTTAAGACGCCGACAAGTCAACGCAGCTCTCCAACAAACTGGTTCTCTAAGGCAGCAGAACAAAGACCGAAAAGAAGACTGTCAAGTGAGTAAACAAGAGCCAGGAGCAGGGAGAGTAACAAGCTATCCTGCTGGGGGGGGTCAACCTCCTGTGAGCCAGGGACCCCAGAGAGAAGGGAGGCATGAGATGAGACCCCTTACTTACATGATGAAAATATGAGGTGGGGGAGGGAGCACAGACACAATAATGTATCCATAGTCAGGGGCACTGCTACAGATTCTGGGCCCCTGAAAGTATCTCGTATCGGACCCCCAACCCACACTAATCCAATTATGTTCCAAAGTGTTTAGGGCCCCCATCACTCGGAGGCCCTTCGAATCGTCCCACCTCCTGTGAAAAGCTCAGGTTCTGCTCCAGGATGGGACACCTCCCACCAGCCACATAGCAGACAGAGCATAGTAGGGCATGCTGCCAATAAGAGACCCCCCCCCCCCCCCCGTAAGGGTATGTTTACATACAGGTGAGCAAACACGCTACGCAAACAGGGGCGCCCACTTTCCGCAGGGACATCAGGATGGTGCCCGTCCTCCGTCCTCCATTCTCCGTCTGCCCATCTGCCTGCCAGAACCTCAGACATCAGGCCTCCGTGTCACACAGCAGATGTAGCCTGACCTCCGTTCAGTGGTTCAAACACGGATCTTCTTCACTAGTATTTTCCGTGCAAAATGTTCACTCTGGGAAGGGGGGTGGGGCTCCTGGGAACCGGAGAGACCCCACGAGTCGACATTAGAACAGGGTCGCCCGCGGGGAGGGGGGGGGGGGGGGGGGGATGGCAGAATGAGAGCCCATTACCGCATGGGGAACTCCGGCAAGCTGAGCACAAAGAGCGGCGATTAGATGTACATGCACGGTCCATGAGCCAATCGGCTCCTCTCCAGCCTCATGGCCACGCCCTCCCTCCCTGCCGCGGTGTGAATGGTCAAGTTGCAGCTTGGCTCAGCAGGGATGGATGCACGCATGACGCAGCGACGCATCGTTAAACTCCCCAAAACACACAGCCTGTTTGCTACAAAAAAACAACAGAACCAATGATGTCCCAAGCCCATATCAAAGATTCAGACTGGGGTCGATCCAGGCATTTTCTATTTTTTTTAAACCAATCAGGATTGGCTACCACGGCCCGATCCAAAGCTCTGTCTCATTAATGTCCCACATCCACACACTTTACATCAGTTGAGCAGATTGCAGGGTTCTGTCACACGCGGAAGTAAACCTGAGACGCATGGCTTGAAACTACAGACGTCAGTTGCGTGGAAATTCTTTAAACTGGAAACTCAGTCGCCTAACAGCAACCTAAAACATCTGCAAGGGCATCTTTTCGAGACGAGTTTGCAACAGCATCATTTAATGCAATTAATCTAATTAGGCACTTGTGGAAACAAGAAAAAATACCACGTAATTGTGTGGCTTACTTCAGTGAGATATGCACCGATGCCTGCCGTCTCAGTATATATATTTATTACAAGATTGGATCGGGATACCAAAAAAGTGGATCGAGACATACCTAGATAGCATGAAAATATTCTGAGTTATATAATAGAAATGATTACCATTATAGTAGTTGTTGTTGTTAACAGCAACAACAAAACAATGACACCGTTTCCCATTTACTCATGCTAACGCTACATATCCTGTGATGACGATGCAGTTACTCATGCGGATTACTACACCATTACTATGGAAAGGTAGCAGAGCAGTGCCCTGAAGCACAGGCTTCCCCGACACGTGCACACGGCCTAACAATAGGCTGTGCCTCCTGAGACCTACAGCTCAAAACAAGGCCAGAGTAAATATCTGAAGAACGATGGCGCGTCTCCCGAAGCACCTGTAGATAGGACGGCTGGCTAATGCACGCTCGACGAGACTCCCCCCGGGAGAGAAAACAAGACGCTGTAGCTTTAAGCCTCGATCAATCTAGCATGCAAATGGAAGGTCCCTTATCCAAGTTCATCTACATCTCAAACGCATTTTGAAAGAATGTGGAAGCCACACCGGGAAGGAAGTTAAGACAGGCAAAGAGTAGAATATCAATCAAAACAAGTGTTAACGAACCACTGTATGGGCCATTGCGGTCCGGGAACCAATTAAACATAAGGTAAATAAGCAGGTTTCTTAGGGACAAGCTAAATGCCGCACTTCCTTGGGAATGTTTCTGCTGCTATTGCCAACCAGCCATCCCCAAACACACATGCTGCATGCCACAGCAGTCTGACGATACACACAGAGGTGAATTCATTTCCCATAAACAGCATTT